TTTTTTTTTTTTTTTTTTTTTTTTTATTTAATGGATTCACTTGATACTCCTCCGTCACTCTCAGCACCGTCCAACATGACGGTCGGAGTACCGACGGCGTATTCGCCAGGCATGTCCAACGCCAACAACAATGCCTCTTCCACGCTTGGTCTAAATCCGGCTACGGCACAGATGATACCGCCTTCTGCGCGATTTCCGTTTAACTCTGTGATCGCCCCTGCGTCCGTGCCTTTGGATTCTATGAATGTTTCTCCGTACGACGGATCTCATTCTGGGAGTTTCAACGCTGATTCGGGGAAGAAGAAGAGAGGCCGGCCGAGGAAGTACACGCCTGATGGTAACATTGCCTTAGGCTTAGCACCTACCACTATGGCGTCTTCTGTCGGTCACGGGGATCTGAGCGGTACTCCTGATTTGGAGCAGCCGGCGAAGAAAGCGAGGGGAAGGCCACCAGGCTCGGGGAAGAAACAGATGAATGCTATTGGTATCGTCAATTGAATTACTCTTTTGTTTTTCTTTGTGTTGGAACTGCATTTTTTTGTTCATATTAATTGATATTATCTGGACGTTTTGTTGGATAGGATCAAGCGGTGTTGGTTTTACTCCTCACGTAGTATGGGCGAAGCCTGGTGAGGTGCGTATTCTGTATAATTCTTAGCTTATTTTTTATATAATTATTGAAATTTGAAAGATTGTTCTTTTTAAAGTGATCTTTAGTTTAAGCGTTGAAGATTAAGCGCGTTTATTAGAATGACTGCAATGCACGCAAAAGAACATGCTGTAATTGGGAAGTGATGCAGTAGCCCCTTGTTTCTGTTTCTAGTTCTAGGAAAACTACGGATTTTGTATAAAACTACATTCAGAATATGTTGTATTAAATGGGATACTGGATTTCTGGATGGCTCCTTGGCTGGTTCATTCTAGTTATATCCATATTAGAGCTCTTCATTTATCAATTTTTGTGGAGATAATGTGACATTCCTGAATTTATCTGTTAGATCATGTGATATCTACAACCAAAGATGAATTATTTCACAACGCAGAAATTATTTTGTATTGTATATGAAATCTAATGTAATTTTTTATATCCTTTTTAAGGAACCGAATATCCTTGACTTCGATATTGATAAACGATAGACTGAACTATTAGCTAAATTATGACGGTATTGTCATAAACTGATTTGAGCTTGATTATTAATGCATTGATATCATTCCATGAAGTTTTAGCTTGTTGTTGGAGTGAATTCAGTCAATTTAGGTATGTTGTGGAGGCTTTGTATATTTGATTTAAGAAATGATTATAAGTAATATTGAAAACAAAGGCAACATTCTTCTCAAAAGGAAACAAAAGTAGCACAAAAAGAATGAATTTTGTAGTCGCGTAAACTTAGCAACTACCTTGTGAACGTGGTTTTTTTTTTTAGGTAGAAGTTGCTAGAATGCAAATTGCGTGCAATGAATAAGCGTAAAATAAATTGTATGTTATTGATGTAGTTTTTTTACTTGGAAGCTGTCAAATTTCCTGTTATAAGCATCAAAATGAATATCTTGTTATTTGCAACATGATTTTAAGATTTACATTGTTCCTCTGAGCTTTGGATTAATTTTACTTCTCTCTCGGTAGTCTTTTTTTTATTTCTTGACAAATCTTTTTATCAGTGGTGTTGGGACTTCTATTTTTTAGATTATCCTTTTCATGGTTTATGGTTGTTTTGTTAAATTACAACTCTAGTCAGTTTGGAGAAAGTTAGAACATAGTCCCTACAATTTTAAAAGTTAGAATTTCTTATGGTTTGATAAAACTTTATTAGTGGTCCATATGGTTTGATAAATCTCCACGAATACAGTAAGTACTACCTTTTCCAGTTTTATTAAACTAACTAATTCTAACACTTAAAAAATACAAGGACTAAATTCCAACTTTCTAATAGGTCAACTAATCTGGTAGAAAGTATGTAAACATAGCTATGATTCATCTCTAATCGGTCATTAGTTTGTAATTCTATGTATTGCACGAGTTTGGAGGTGAGGATGCCTGCAAGTTTGATGGTTCCTTTTCTTCATTTTAGTGGAGAGTTATTGATAGAAGTAATATTTTATTGGAGACTCTTAGGTCGTAATCCGGGTTTCATGCTTCTATGGTTGCAGGACGTAGCAGCAAAAATTTTGGCCTTCTCACAGCAAGGACCACGAACTGTCTTCATTCTCTCTGCAAATGGTTCCATCAGTAATGCTACTCTTCGACACTCAATGACATCTGGTGGTTCTGTGACATATGAGGTGCTTATAATTGTTTTTGAATTGCATAGCTGATTGACTCTCTGCATGGATATAATTACTAATGTTTTATCATATCTAGTATTTGCCTCTTTGAATTAATCATCAACTCATGTAAACTTGAAGCCTTCGCTGAATTCCGATCTGATAGCTATTAAATCAACTACATGAACCTTGGATAGCAAATGGAAAAGGATTGTTCAATTTAAGTATGCTCAGGTTAGGATAACATTTGTTTCCAATAAGTAGTAGGGACATGCTCCCTCCCAAGTAGTATGCACAGTCCTTTTCAGTTCTGTTGTTGTATAGATTCTGTGATTCATAGGCAGTGTTTCTAAGGTTAGGCAGGAGCCCACATGTGCCTGCAAAGTGCATTCACGTGGACGATCGTCTGGGTCACCTTTTCTATAACCATTTGCCACTACAGTGAAATAAAGGCAATCACCAAGTTTCTTTTTGCCTTTTCTTCTACTTTTCTACTACACTAATTAAGAAATCCTGATCTCTTTCAGCATCTCTTGAAGGAAAAAACGGTATAAAAAACCTATATTATTAAAAATATATATTATGCCATTGCTAAATCATCTTATGTTATGTTACCATGTATTCTAATTTTGATGTAGAACTGAATTTTCTATTTCGAGAAATGCACTTTACTTGGCTCAGGTGACATTGTGTGTCTTCCCATGATTTAGCAATAAACTTATCGTCACCAAGTGAGAACGTTTGTGATAATTTTCTAGACTTGAAGTTATCACCTTTCTTCATTGATTTGATTAAAGATTAAGCTAAGGGTTAAGGAAAGGGACTCCCCGGTTAATAAAGGAGAGAGTGGAAGTAAAAATGCACATGATTATTGCAAGATGGACAGATAAAAGAAGAAAGGGCTTGGTCCATATGAAGATAGGCGGAGTGGCCTTTCTTGGAAGGGCTCTCAACAATTCCTACACAATCGATCTTTCCACCGGAAATTAAATAGGTGCCAGTTGATATTAAAGAATATGCCGAGATGATTCGTAGAGGTTATGATTGTAGGTCGTAGAAGAATAAAACTAGAAAATATAGATTTTGTGACAATAAAACGCTGTAGGAACTTCGTACTAGTGCCAGTAGAACAGGTGCAATATGCTCTGCTTTGAGTATGTGATCAATTCCCTATGAAAATAGGCGCAACCTTATATAGGATCAGTTTGAGATCGATTCTAAAAGAAAAACATTTATCTAATCTTATGCAGGGGCAGTATGAGATAATCTCTCTGTCAGGCTCCTTTATGCTCTCGGAGAATAATGGAACTCGAAGTAGAACAGGCGGTTTGAGTGTGTTGCTGGCTGGGTCAGACGGACAGGTTCTTGGTGGTGGAGTTGCAGGAATGCTAATGGCAAGTTCCCAAGTACAGGTACTCATAACTTCTATCCGAAGCGCTTCATAGGCGCCATGTACTTGATAGATTTCACAAATCATGCTTTACAAACTCTGATTTCATTGCATCCTCAGGTGGTTGTGGGAAGTTTTCTCGAGAATGATAAAAAGTCCAACAACACAGGTATGCTGAATTCTGGATCTTCTGCTTCACCATCTCAAATGATAAACTTTGGTGGTGCAGCAGCAGCAGCAGCGGCCAGCCCTCCATCGTTAGGGGCATCGAGTGGCGAGTCGTCTGCCGACAACGGAGGCAGCCCTCTTAACAACAGGCATCCCGGAATGTTCAGTAATAGCAGCCAGCCAATTCACAACATGCAGATGTACCACCAATTGTGGGCAGGCCAAACACAGCAGTGAGGATTTATTTTGCAACTAACAGTGAGAAGTGCATTAGGATGATGATGATGATGCTCTTCAGTCTACACACATTCAACATCGTTTTGTGAATCTAACTTTCGCAATTAATTACCAAAAGTATTTTATAGAGGGGCTTATGTTTATTTATTTAGGTAATTATTAAGAAAGATTATTATTTCAATCTTGCTTTCTGTTTTTCCCCCCTCTTTCTGCAGCACTGAAGGATGGCGCAAGATCCTCACATTTTTTATGGTAAAATAATTCGAGATTTTTAGCACGTTCTTAAGTTACCGACTCACAAAAGTAAGAATGCCTATCAACGTGTATTCAGACAGTTAAAAAGACACCACAGTCCTATAGCACTTATCTTATGGTGTTCAAGTTTGCCTCCTTAACCACTCGGACATATTGACACTTTGGTTATTTTGGCATAAATTTTCAATTAAAAATAATTGAACACCGACAAATTGACCGAGTCAAATCCGTGCAAAGACCGTGTAAGCCAGCACTGACAGCTAATTCGACCATTACGTGTCTTTTCTTTTCTGTTGTTTTTTAATAACTTTTTAATTTTTTTTTTTTTAATTCACTCTTTTCTACTATTTTCACACTCACCACCTACCTTATTTTACGTTACTTTTTTTCTCTTCTACAAAAAATTAGTTTCCAATTAACAAAAAAAATCCTTTTAATTCACTCCAATATTATTTTAGTGGGTAAGCTTTTATATATATTTGAGTAGGAACGTACCAAATCAAATGAAATATCTTTAGTGAATCTTAAATGAAGTACATATGAAACAAAATATTCCAACCTTTCGTCATTTGCCTAAAATCTTCAAACATCTGGTCAACATCAAAATTATATCCCACAATATGATTTATGATGATCAAGCTTTTATCACCAAAGAAATGTTTTTTTTCCATATAAATTGTAAAAAGATTTTGATATAATATTTGATTAAAATCCGAAAGCAATAATTTGAAGGCCCTATGACTTTCTTGTCTGTCTGGGTCTGTGTGAATGAGTCAATCAAATGCTTCAAGTTGACCCCACAACCTTAAATGGAGTCGGCAACGGCTCAAAATCCCCACTCCAAACTTCGACGTTACCCAGAAGATTCTTCAACGGATCCTTCAATCCAGAGAGAGAGAGAGAGAGAGAGAGAGAGAGAGAGAGAGAGAGAGAGAGAGAGAGAGACCCTTCACCAATAAATACAATTACCCTCCACCAATTCAACCCAACACCCTTTCAATCTCTACATAAAACATCCATTCATCTTTCCCCTTCATTAACTCCCAACAATGGGTTGTTTGGTCCTCCTCCCTTGCTACGTCATGAAGACACGACGCCGGAGAACCGCCCCTCGCCTCCCCTATCGCCGCCTCGACAAATCGGAGAGCCTGGTAAGGGTGGTGGTGGGAGAGGAGAGGACAGAATTCCTGGTAGACCCATTTGTGTTAGAAGAAAACCCATTTCGGGTTCTGATGGAAAAGGGAAGATTCGAAGAAAAGGAGGGAAAAAGAAGAAGCGAAGAACACATAATATTTGTCGATGTTGATGCTATTTTGTTCGAGCACTTGCTTTGGCTCATCTACAACGATTCTTCTTCTTTGCTTACCCTCAATCTTGACGAAATTCTTCACTTTTATTCTCAAGAGTTTTAATTCAATAATCAAACATACACTTCATGCTAATTATACGATGCAAAATAATATATATCATCGATGCGGTCTTTTGGAGAAGCTCGTTAAAACCCCTTCGCGTTCATCCATTTTTTCTTAATATGTTTTATATCCCTCAATTGGGTCTAAGAAAAATCAAATTTTTATCCAATTACAATTAACCTCATTTTTTACTATTTTACCCAACTAGGGTACATTCCGGCATTAAATAATTTGATCCGATTTTAGGCCCATTAGAGCTTTTTCATATGGGCTTTGTACTTAACAAAGCCCAATCTAAGCAACCCATTGTTTTTGACAAATTGGCCCATTGTTTACTCTTCGTTTTCCCTTTTGTTATTATTAATAAATATTCCTTTTTATCCCTTTTAAAGTACTAAAATTCTTTATTCAACAAACATTTTATATTAGTCTAAATATGAAAATAAAATGTTGTATTTTTCAAGTTAATTTCGTTCAAAAATGCTTCCATTTTATTTTTTCATTACTACGTAAAATGTTGACATTACAACTTCATTCAATAAACGTGACAAAGACAAAGAAAACTCGTAGAAAAAAACAAAAAAAAAAACAAAAAATTAAAAATTAAAAATCATTTATGTTTAAGAATTAAATAAACTCACCCAACATAGCTTGTCTTATTCTACAATAATTACATAAATAGTACCAAAATAATATATATATTTTTAATATACTAAAACTTACCACACACATAAATATATTAGTGATTACTTAATCAAAGTTTAAGCACCAATATAAAATAAAATCTCTAAATTACAATTGTTCTATCATCAAATAAACAATTAATGGTTATGAATATTAAACAAAAACAGTAAAAATTTGTTACCTCCAAATACTAAATCAATATTATATATTTTATGAATGGATAACAAAGAGATGTTAATCATAATCTAACTACTTAAACCTTATGATTATAGAGTATTAATTGAGTTTATCATCCAGGATATAGAAAGCATATTATTTCATTTACGAACACAATTATATATATGCAAACAAACCCTAGAAGATCATCCAAAGATTTTTTTTTTTTTCATAACATGAAAGAAGAGTTACCCAGAAATGATACACGATTGAAAAGTAGAAAAGAGTGAAGAAAGATGAAGATAGAAGAAACTATAATATTAATTGAATTCCATGAAATCTTCTCAAAGTTCTAACCTTTAATTTGGAGTCTCCCATGAACATCAACACCAACATCAACAATAGATTTGTTAGAATGGTAGCTGAATGTGGTTCGGCATATTTAGAGGCAAATTGAAGAAAGGAAGCCCTGAAGATGGATCTGGAAATGGGCCTCCCCTGCCTCCACCGCCCTCCGACGTTGGTGGCTGCATCTGATCTTGTTCTTGTTCTTGTTCTTGTTCTTCGAGTGGGAGTCTCTCGTATGCTACATTTGCAAACGATGCGACGATGACAGTTACTGGCCCGGCTGCCACCAACTCTCCGACAACATTCCCACCGACGACTTGCCCTTGACCACCCGCTAAATATATGGTCAAACTAGTAGCGCCGGGAGGAGCAGGCGGCGGTAGGAAAGATCCGGTAAGCGATAATATCTCGAACCTCCCTTGTAGGTTTAAGACAGCACCGGTCCCCGTCGGTTGGCGTAAGTTGAGATTAGTTACCATTCCGTTGGCATTCAAGATGCATATCCCCCGTTGACGGCGGCGGGCGTAGATGGCGATGCTATCAAAGACATCGCAGCCGCTTCCAACTTCAAAAATATGAGCCCTTAGGGTATTGGCGCTTTCCCGGGTAATGATAACCGGGGGCTTGGGTTTGTTTTTGGAGCCAGCTGGACGGCCACGGGGACGGCGAGAGACCGCCATGTCAGTGGCGGCGGAGACGAAATCCAACGGCTGATCTGATTCGTCTTCATGATCAGATTGAGTGTCGGGGTGGTGGTGCGGGTGATGAAGGTTGAAATCAGGTCTTTGAAGTTGGTGAATATAGCGATTGCCTAAATCCAAACCAGCCATGGATTGATACACTCAATCTTATTAAAAACACAACCAAAAAAAAAAAAAAAACAACAACAGAAAACTATGAAAAATATTAAAAAAGAGGAATTTTTTTAAAAAAAATTAAGAGCACTGAAATGTAGAGAAAAATACTGTTCCTGGTTGGGTTTGTTTAATTCAGGGAACATATATATATATATATGTATATATATAAAACTATAAGAACGCCAATGGCTTAATGGAGACGAAGAAGAAGCCAGTTAGAGAGAGAACGAGACACACACACATTGTAAAAGCTAAGTATATGTCTTATAAAATAATAATATGTTGAAATTTTGGTATTATTCGTCCTTTCTTTTTCTTCCCACACTAATTATATTATTATTATTAAAAAGATTGAGTTTTTTTTTTACCACGGGTTTATCCATGTAAATTAATTAATGTATAGTTAGAAAAGGGTAAAACTTGGGTTTTATTACTTTAATTTAGTAAAAATGAGTTGAAACCCATCCATGGAATCCATGGAAATATGTGGATCTTAGCTTATCCATGAAGCTAATACTCTGAATTGGCTCCCACCTTTGACTTAAAAAAATAAATGGTAAATTAATATATAAAAAAAAAAAAAAAAAAAAAAAAAAAAAAAAAAAAAAAAAAAAAAAAAAAAAAA